CCCCCCCCCGAGATGCACAGCACATGCATGTATACTGATTTAAGCTTACCTTCCTGGGTAATCCTGGGCACGCTCATCAATAGCTTCCTACCAAGTGAGGAGAACGCAAGTTTTAGCGAGTAGTGCAATATACAATAGAACATTAACCATAGTTAGTTAATTAGTTAGTTAGTTAGTTAGTTAGTTAGTTAGTTAGTTAGTTAGTTAGTTAGCTAGTTAGTTAGCTAGTTAGTTAGTTACTTAGCTAAATAGTTAGCCAGTTAGTTAGGTGGGTAGGTGGGAAGGTAGTTTGTATTTTTGTTATGGTAACTTTCTTCTATTGTCTGTAAACACTTAATTTATATTTACAATAGGTTATGTCCTTTTGATCAGTCTTTGCACATGGTTGAAAGAGTTGGAAAATCGACAACAATACCAAAAAAAAAAATAATTGTGAAACGTGTTGACAAAATAAGTTCTTGCAATCCTCGAATACAGATGTGCGCAAAATAGACACATTTGTAGGTTGTTAAGCTGATGTCATTTTGCTCAAGGTAAAGATATCTTTCTTTCATCTTTTCATAATATGATAAATTGTACATACCCAGCCCATACATTTCTTGTATCTATCTGTGTCCATAAGGCTGAAACACAAGAATTGACTCATTTTGTTAGCACCCCTCACACTTAGAATAAGCAACATAAATATGTGGTTCATCAGGAGAATGCTTGCTTCAGAAAATGTAACGTCATTGTTGTCGTAGGTGGTTGGTGGGCACTCTGGTGGGGTTTGCTACTTCTTTCTTATCAAACATCTATCGTCATTATCTGTCCTCCTCTTTTTTGTGTTTATTACTCTCTTTGAACACTTCTAATCTTCGGCACTTACATGACCTTATAATAATAATAAAAAGCATTTTTATTGCGCATTTTCCTTTTCTAAAAAATGCCCAGTGCGCATTACATCGAAAAAGACATCACATCTTCAAAATTAATCGACATACGTGTACGTAAAACACAGTATTATGCATTTGTAATATCTATGTATATGTGCAAAATATCTTTGAGAAAACAGTGTTGCAGGTGCCGTAAAACGCGTACTAAAACTACTTTTAAAAAGTAATTATTTCCAGCCAATTATTTCCAGCTGTATTGCCTGTCATTCCAGGAAAGCGGGAGCCGTCACAGCGAGATCATTATGTACACACACCAGTCGTTCAATTTCTACTACTACAAGTACACAGTGGATGGGGTCAACGTGATACTGGCGAGTATCCTTTACAAAAAGAGCCATTGGCGTTGACGTTGTCATTTGTTGCAGATTAATTTGTTGTCCATTTGTTGTGGTGCATTTGTTGTACTTTTGTTATACATAATATGTTGTGTATTTTCGCATTTGTTGTACATTTGTTGTACATTTGTTATAGATATGTTTTGTATTTGTTCTATATTTGTTGTGCAATTTTTGTACATTTGTTGTACATTTGTAGTACATTTCTTGTACATTGCTTGTACATTTGTTCTGTATTTGTTGTATATTCATGGTACATTTGTTACAGATTTTAATGTCATTGTAAGTGCATTATACTCCGATTGACGCAATTTGGGGATTTTAATCTAACCCATTCTGCATACAGGATACATCTTTATAGAAAGACATAGCTAGGTCATCAATTTCACCCACCTGTACAAATGGCCACTTACCATTACCCCCTTCTGTCCAAAACAAGAACTTAGAAGAAGAAGAAGA